GTCGAGCGCCGCGTGGGAGCACGCCTCGAGCGAGACGAGCGCAGCCTGTTCACAGCAAGAGGTGTGAAGAGACGGCTGTTCACACCTGCCGTTGCACACGCCTCGAGCGAGACGAGCGCAGCCTGTTCACAGCAAGAGGTGTGAAGAGACGACTGTTCACACCCGCCGTTGCACACGCCTCGAGCGAGACGAGCGCAGCCTGTTCACAGCAAGAGGTGTGAAGAGACGCTGTTCACACCCGCCGTTGCACACGCCTCGAGCGAGACGAGCGCAGCCTGTGGGGAGACGATGTCGCGAGACGAGAGCGAGCGGCTGAGAGAGTGTGGCTGTCACTTTTGAACGGCGGCTCATCACACGTGCGTCAGAGAGCTCATGGGCGGTGGCATGGTGGAGCCAGAGCAGTGCGCGGCCGATCTGAATTCTGGCCAGGCGGTCTCCCAGCGACATTCCCGCGGGCGCCTGGTGCCGCGCAGGGAGCAAGCGCTGCGCCCCGCGAGAGGGCTCACGTCTCTCCTCGGCGTGTTTTGGAGAGCCCTCTTCCCCTCTCCCCACATCTCACCGACGAGTCCGGCGCGATCTCCCCCTTCTCTCCCCCGACCTCGCCCTCTGGCATCTACGCCTCCACGGCACCTCACGCCCCGCCTCCTCGTCGCCGTCGTCGCGGTCCGCACTCGCGGCTGCTGCCGCACCGCGCGCGCGCGCCTCGAGCGCCTCGAGCGCCTCCGCGCGAACAACGGCGGTTGGTGGGACGCTTCTCTCTCCTCTCCCACGCCGGCCAAGAGGAGGTGGCGTGCCTTCTTGGCGCGGCTTGCGGCGCGCAGACGCGAGACCTTGAGGGTGCGCGAGGCGGCGGCATCGAGTGGCTTGTCCGCGCACGCCTCCTCCCACCCCGCCCGCGCCTCGGCGCGCAGCGCACGCCGCGCCTCGAGATCGCGCAGGAATGCCTCGAGCAGGGCCGCTGCGTGCCGCAGGTGCTTCAGACGCACGTCGTGGCAGCCCGCAGCCTCCTCGGGCTGAATGCGGAGGATGAGCTCGGCTCGAAGGAACGGCAGGAGCAGATACTTTAGGTCGCCGGTGTTGATGTCCTCGAGCTCCTCGTTCGCCGAGAAGACGGACAAGGAGGACACGAGCTCGGCAGCCTTCTCAGCAAACGCAAGGCCATCCGCGACGCGCTGCTGGAG